GTTGTGGCAGGAGTTTTGGTATTTTAGTTTTAAAACTCTTGATTTAAGCCGGGCGCTGGTGGCTCACGCCTGTAATCCTAGCTACTCAGGAGGCTGAGATCTGAGGATCGCGGTTCAAAGCCAGCCCGGGCAGGAGAGACCGTGAGACTCCCATCTCCAACAAACCACCAGAAAACCGGAAGTGGTGCTGTAGCTCAAGTGGTAGAGCCCTTGCCTTGAGCTGAAGAGCTGAGGGACAGTGCCCAGGCCCAGAGTTCAAGCCCCACGACCGACCAAAAAAAAAAGTATAAAAAAAAAACAAACTCTTGATTTAAGCAAAGAAGAAAATACTGATGATACAAACAAAATTAACAGGCTTTCTTCCTTTATTTGGTGTATATATACATAAATATGCATGTGTATGTGTGTATATACTTACGTATATACACATGTATATGTATAGATATAACTATACTTGCTTATCAAGTATAGGGCATTTACAAAAGTTTATTATGTTCTACATCATAAAGGTAATTTTAGTAGATTTCAAAGTATTGATATAAATCTAAATCTTCCTCTATGTGTGAATATATGTATGTATGTAAGTATAATTCTCCACATAAATGAGTTAAAGGGAGAAAACGGTTATATGTCAACAGATGTCATTCTATGCCTACATGAAAATATGTTTAGAAATTGACAGTTAAAAGATATTTTTGTTTGTTTCTGCCATAGTAGGGATTGAATGTAGAGCTTCTTGCATGCTAGGCAAGGGCTTAACCACTTGAACCATGTCCTTTATCCCTAAAAGATATCTTTTTTAATCTGTGAAATTTAAAATACCCTTTTTAATATTTAATGAGTTTTAAAGCATATTCTGTTAGAAATTATAAAATACTAGGACTTAAAGATAATATGGGCACTAAATACTAAAATTTTCAGAATATAGTTGGAAGCATTTAAATAAATATGTGACCTTAAAAGTATGAAAAATTACATATTGAAACTTGAGCATTCACCTAAATATTTTTAAGGATAAATGCAGTTGCTCTAAGGGAAATAAAAAAAGAAGCCAAAATAAGAAATAACAAATTGTCAAATGATAAATCTTTATTGTTATATAAATGATAAAATAACACAAAGCCAGCAATTTCGAATGGTAGTTCTTTGAATGGTAGTTCTTTTGGATATTAGGCTTGTACTCAAGGCCTCCTCACTCTGCTGTTTTGGTCATGGCTGTCACTCAAGCCATGCCTCCAGTTCCAGCTTTGTGTTCGTTAATTGAAGATGAGTCTCTTGTCTGCTCAAGCTGGCATCCAGCAGAGATCCGCAGATGTCAGTCTCCTGAGTATCTAGGAAGTACCTGACCCAAATGCTAGTTTAACTTAAACAGGGTTGAAATGAATAAAATAAACAGACATTTAAAAGGATTGATCAAGGTAAGAAGAAAAAGTGAAGATAACATTCAGTACTCAAACCTAGAATGTCTGGCTCCCTGTGGTTTTAGCTGTGTTGTACTATCAGAAGAAAATACTGTGGAAATTTGAATTCAATCACTGTGCAAATGGGTAAAATGGAAATGATAAAATTTTCTAGGAAAATGTAAACTACAATCAAAGAAGATCCAGGCAGCCTGTAATCATTGAAGAAATTAAACTAGTAATCAGAAATCCTTTTGCTGTTTTTTTTTAACACAAAACCTAGAAAGTTTACAGGAGCATCTGATCATGTCTGCAGATTACCTTTCTATGATATAACCTGTTTTAAAAAATAGAAAAGGGTGGATTGCTGGTGGCTCATGCTTATAATCCTATCTACTTAGGAGGCTGAGATCTCAGGATCACGGTTTGAGGCGAAGGCAGGAAAGTCTGTGAGCTTTTTATCTCTAATTAACAAAAAAACAAGTGGAGCTGTGGCTCAAGTAGTAGAATGAGAAGTAGAACAAAAAAAATCTCAGGGAGGCTGGGAATATGACTTAAGGGTAGAGTGCTCGCCTAGCATGTGTGAAGCCCTGGGTGCAATTCCTCAGTACCACATAAAAAAAGCTGGAAGTAGAGCTGTGGCTCAAGTAAGTGCTAGCCTTGAGAAAAGAATCTCAGAGATAGTGCCCAGGGTCCTGACTTCAAGACCAAAAACAAAAAATCTCAGGGAAAGTGCCCAGACCCTCAGTTCAAGACCCAGGACTGGGTGTGTGTATGTGTGCGTTCACGCACGTGTGTATACACACACACACAGATACAAAAATATATAAAAAAGGGTTAGAGGCTTAGCAGTATAGCACCTGCCTAGCTAGTTAAGGCAAGGTGTTCACACCACAGAAACACACATATACACACTCACTAAACAATTCTCTTTAAGAGAATAAGCAAAACTAGATGTAGCACTAGAAAATTTAAGAAATGAGTTTCAATGAACAGATAATATAATTTTGTAGTTTACATGTATTAGAGTAACTCTCCACTTTGACATACAAGAAAAAAAAGACAATTGTTTATTAAAAGATTTTGATAAATAAAAAGACCTTTTAAGCAAATGTACATTAAAGGGGATCTGGAATTTCTTTACCCTTATAAAGGAGATATAACAAAATTCTATAGTAAGCAATCTTATTTGATGAGAAAATTTTAGAAGTCTTCCCATTAAAACCAGGGCGGGAAGGAAAGGAATGTATGCTAGGTCTTGCTTCTATTAAACATTTGATTGCTAGTAGGAATAAACCATGTGTGTTATTTTGCAGAAATTCCTGTGGAAATAAAATGGCCCTCGAGTTTATTGCCAACTTAAATTTTAAAAGTTCCTATTCAGTTTTAGATGATGGAATTTCTAATCTCTCTTAGCCTAGCTGATCATTAATAAACACTGTTTTTCTAAGATGCTAGAAAGTCTTTTTCATTTAGCACTTATGTTCATAGATTGTTATGTACAGTTAAATGATGAAATTAACCACCATCAAATAACACTATAGGTTGAAAGGATATCTTAATTCTAACTTACTTTTAATTACTATTTTAGGTAAAAATAAAATGAGTAAGGAAAAAAGTGGTATAAAGTAGAAATATATGAAGGAGTTTTTCTAATAGTAAAATCTCTGTATTCTGATTTAAGGTTGCCACAGTCTAAATTTAAATTTGTTCTAGGGCTTTACAATATATACCTCTCTGCCAAACTTAATCATAGCTTTAAAACCCAGGGTGACATTGCAGACCTATGGTGTATTTTAGTCTAGTCATTATTTACTGGCAACCTGGACTTAATACATAAAATGTGCTTCTGTTATTCCCTTCCTCCCTTCCTCTCCACAGTCCTATTTTACAATTAGTTTTCACTTTTTATGGTTTGTTTATCCTTCTCTTTTCCTAGGAAGCTAGAATATTCTTTGTGCTAAGAGGACTAAAAATTAATTAGGGAAAAGAAAATCACAAACTTTAGGGATATTTCTGTTTAGGAAATATAAGTAACACTTGGGTTTAATTGTCTTTGAATTGTTTCACTGTGTGTGTGTATGTGTGTGTAGATGTTTGCTCATAAATCCTACACTCTTCAAAACATTTCTTTTGGAAAGTCTCTCCTATTCTTGTGTACCTTGTTTATCCTAGTTTTCATTTTTCTCTTTCAGCTTTTTGATGAGACTATAATGACCAATACTTAAAGAGAGAAGTTGCTTGGCCTGGAGTTCTAGATAGACAGTTATTTTTGCCTCAGTTCAGTTTCAGTGTGTCAACCTGATCGACTGGGACAGGTGGACATTCCATGACCAGCACTAGATTGAGGAGGGTGGAGGTGGATGATGGATGATATGTCTAATGACAAATAAGCAGTTCCATGAATATGAGTGTACAGAGTAAAATTAGAGTCAGCAGGTGGTGGGCCTAAACTGTATCTTATTTCTTTCTCAACTACAAGATTTACTGTGACCATCTTTTCACAGAAGCCAGCTGGAATTGTCCATTAACTGCCAGCTCCCATTGGTTTTTGTGGCAGGCAGTCGTTGCTTTCTTTAGAATTTGTTCAGCTTCTCATTTTCATGTATGGCATTATGTTCACTTGGTGGTAAAATGTGATACTAAAAAGAAGAGTATGAGAACTGATCTTTCTGTGGAGAATGTTCCAGTTAGATCCATTCCTTTTAATCCTCTTGTATTTTACATTCCTGTTTGATCTCTGCTATTGCCACTGCAGGATTGATTACTGAAATTTCTCCCCATGTTTGAAGAGAAGAAAAGTTTCTCTGAACACACTTAACACAGAATATAGAGCTGTATATAACCTCAAATCAAGCATTCCTACTAGTTTTAGCTTTCCTTTTGAGCTTATTTACCTGACCAAATCATCTTGAAAAAAATACATTTTCGTTTTAAATCTTGAAAGTTAACTACTACATTGATTAATGTACTTCTTCAGTAGATGTACTAGATCCATTGTAACTAGTGCTCCTCGGGCCAGTTTGTATATGTTCTTAATATTTGAGTATTAGTATGATACTGGTAGGATCTTGTTAGGTATGGAGCTGAAGGAGAGGTCTGGGATGCAAATGGTAGTCATGCTTTTTCTTCGTCCTTGCAGATCTGGGTTGTCAAGAAAAGAAAGTGATGAATTTCTCCATCTTTTTGTGACTATATTTGGGCATCTTTTCTTCCAGTAGTCCCAACAGAAAAACCAGGGCTAACTGATTTGTCTAATTTGAGCATGTTCTCATCTCTGAACTAACCACCAAAACTTATTAATCAAGCTTTGGTTTTTGTTGGTTGATTGGTTTGTTGGTTTCCAGAAGCTTAAATATAGGACTAGCTCCTCTTCAATCATATAGAATGAGAAAGAGGGAAGAGAATTAGGGTGGTGTTAACACTGGAAAAGGAAAAGAATTCTGGACAGTTTAAAGTGTCAGTGTCCACTCTATTGAAAATTGTTTAGTGGGAAAGGGCTGTCCTACAGCCAAGAATACTCTAGTAGCTGGATTTCTTAGTTAGACCTTCCACTGTCATAGCCTAATCTTTCCCCACATTGCCTTTATTTTGCTACAGATATCTTTTCCCCAAGTTTACTCTCTGTTGGACTGAATTTGCAGACATGAAGGTCCATGTACCCTGTGAAACAAGTGAATACATTGAAGCCAACTATGGTAAGACCTGGAAGATTCCTGTAAAGACATGGGACTGGAAGAGCTCGCCCCCTAATGTGCAGCCCAATGGAATCTGGCCTATTTCTGAGTGGGATGAAGTTATCCAGTTATATTGAGATACTAGGGATAACTGCTTAAAAATCATGTCTTTTGTCACATTTAAGTGGAAGTCAAAGGGGAAAAACGATAAGTTCAAAGACAGAGAAAAGTCCTAAGTCCTGAGCCATCCACTTTAATTGTATCATTCAGTATTTTTTTAGTAGTCTCTACATGCCAGGTAAAATGCTAGGCTACAGTGGAGAAGCAGAAGTGAACTAGCAAATGCTTTCTCTCCTGTCCCTTTGGGAAACAGCAGTTTTTCTCCCCCACCATTTAAAGAGCTGAAGTAGAATGCGATGTATTTTGTAATCAATTTTTTAGATGTTATGTTTAGATTAGAAGAAAAGCTCACTGGGCAAAGCTAAGGAAGGATATACAAGTTAAAAAGAATAATCAATTTTTGCCTGTCCTTAGCATTTAAGCTGCTGTGTTGTAACATTAAGATTTTGGAGTCTCAGTAAATATTCTAGTAATCAGACTTTAGGTAACATCAAGAAAAAAGTGGTAGCAGATTCAGTTTATAAGCAATCTGGTGTGGAATTGATTGTTTCTTATTCTATAAAAAAAAAGTGAGAACTTATTTCATACCTTGTCAAGATAAGAAAATTTCCATCTTACTGTTTCCATGTTTGAAGTGAAATGAAAAATGATGCTTAAATTTCCAACCATTGTGAGAATATTTTTACTGACCCCTAAACAATAATTGTTGGCAAATCATTCAAACAAGACCATAGCACCCAAAATGATTTGGAAGAGCTGTGATTTCACCAAATATATTTTTTAAAATTTTTCTCCCCCACTCTTCTAGGTAAAAATATGAATGATTCATGGATATCTTTCTATCTTCTATTCTGTTGGTCTATATATTAATTTTAAAACCTATCTGTTCTTTTTCTACCAATACTACTTAACATCTCCAAAATGGAAGGTAAATAGTGAACCTGACTCTTCCTAGATCATAGTGTTTATAAAGCTTCTGTTCATTTCTAGTTGTCCAATCTGCTGAATATTGATGAGGCAAGATCTTGGACTTTCCTACTTTATCAAGGACCACCCACATTGGAACCCTTTTTTTTTTTTTTTCAGTGCTGGTCTTGGGACTTGAACTCAGGGTCTGGATGCTCTTCCTGAGCTTTTGTGCTCAAGGCTAGTGCACTATCACTTGAACCACAGCTCTCCTTCATGCTTCTTGGTGGTTAATTGGAGATAAGATTCTCATAGATTTCTCTGTCCAGGCTGACTTCAAATTACAATCTTCAGATCTTAGCCTTCTAAGTAGCTAGGATTACAGACATGAGCCACCAACACCTGGCTTCCTTCAGTTTCTTTCTTTCTTTTTTTTTCTTTTTTTCCAGTCATGGTACCTAACTCTGGGCCTGGGCGCTGTCCCTCAGCTCTTCAGCTCAAGGCTAGGGCTCTACAACTTGAGCCACAGTGCCACTTCCGGCTTTTTCTGCTTATGTGGTACTGAGGAATCGAACCCAGGTCCTCATGCATGTGAAGCAAGTACTCTACCACTGAGCCACCTTTCCAGCCTCCTTCAGTTTCTTTTTTCATCCTCAATATACTTTCCTAAGTGGGCTGAGATGGCTAGTCTTCTCTATTTCTTCATAAGTCATTTGGATAATATATTCTATGTGAGAGATATGGGAAATTCAGTTTAGTAAGTACTTCTATCTCTTCCTGAGAAAGTTATCTGGATTTTCTGAGACAGCTTGTAGATCTTTCTCCAAAACTAGAGAATCCTCAGAACATCTGAGGAATAAGTTGACAGTAACCTACAATCACCAACCCCTTTAAATTTTGAAGTACTTCTTTTCATAAATAATAGAATCAAGTTTTTAGGGACCTTTACAGATTATTAGCAGACTTGTCCCCAAATGACAGCTCATTCAACAGTATCTTTTTCTTTGCTAGAAAATAAGCCCGTAGAATGTAAACCCACATTTTAAATAGCTAACCCCTATTCATTGTTTATGCACCAGAACAATATAGCAGATAATAGTGTTTTTGGATAAAATCCATTCTGCTTGGAGTGGACCATTTGCTTGCGCTCAGCATCCAGAAGTACATACCAGTCATATTTCTGCCCCTGTTACTGTTGTCCAGGAAATCTGACCTACCCACACCTGATCAAGTTACTTCTCAAATATCTTTCCTTGGAGTACAAAGTTTGAGAGTGTCCAAAATCGAAGATACCTTAACCCCAGTGATGAAGGTTCCAGACTCTTTCCAACGTAAACCACCAGCTGCTAAAATGCCTTTCTTGTTTTCCTTTTGTTTTATCCTGTTTCTGCTCTTGAGTTCCACCAGAATTTGCGGGAAATATAGTCTTTCCCCAGAATCTGAAGACTAGGCCTGGCTTTCATAATAACCAGCCGTATTTACTCTTAACTCTGCTCCTTACCATTTGAACTCTGAGTATGCAGAGAGCTTAGATTAGTTGTATATAACTCCAGTACCTTATTAGGTTACTTTTCTTTCACAAAAGTATTCCAACAAGCATTTTCCAAATCTGGCCAGTTTATCTGAAGACATTTTATATATTTTTAAATTACTTTATTGTTGGTTTATTGGTGATATACAATGGGTTACCTTTCACATGAGGTGATAAGTATATTTCCTTCCTTTTGCATAGTATCATCTGTTCTCTCCTTCTCTCTCATTCCCTCCCTCCCATCTCTGCCCAGATGTTGTATGGTTTACTTTTATCAATGTCCAGTGCAGCCAGTGGGTCCGCTGCTGCATTTTTTCACCTGTTTTCCACCTTCCTCCCCACTGCTGTCCCTCAGATGTGCACATGTATACACCATATATGAGGTAAAGAATACAAAATCATCAGAAAGTGAAAAAACAAATTAAGAAAAGGTTCTTTGTTTCCTTATCTTTGGAGTTCATTTCAGTATGTATATTATTTTATATACATATGAAGAGATGCTTGGGTATTATACCTTGGTGATTTTCTCCTAAGACTATACTCTTTTGGTCTCACTGTACGTATGTAAGACCTTTTATATTAAAATTTGTTGGTCAGGCACCCATTAATATCTCCAGAGAGATCTTGAGTAGCAAAATCTTTCTCAGTTGATAGGCAGGTAGCCTCTCAGGTTTTCTCTACGGAGAAAACAGAGCATTTGTCCTTCATTGTGCTGCAGATTTTGACATTTGACATTCTTCCCTAAAACAACCTGGGCAAGGGTAGCATGTTCCAATTCCCTAGCTACAAACCCTGAAATTTGACCACTAGGTGGCAGAATATCTACCAGCATTCACCTCCTAAATAAGTTAACTTAAAATCATTCTATTCTTGAATCTTAAAGGTAGAAGAGGCTTTAACCCTCTTTTTTTTTTAGCTTAAATTTTATTGCAAGGTGATATACAGAGGGGTTGCAGTTTCATAAGTAAGATGATGAGTATATTTCTTTCTGAACAGTGTTACCCTCTCCCTCATTTTAACCCTCTTAGTTAATAGCCAGTAAATATTTCCAACAAGATCACCTGAAGCTAAAACCTTGAATGTCATGACTTACTGTCCAGTGATTCTTTTATTATTCATATCACAGCACACCATCTTTAACCTTGTTGAGGAGTAAGACTATATTTCATTGTGCCAACCAACCAGCTAACTCCCCATTTCTAAAGACCCCCTTCCCTTTCCAAAGCAGTTTCCATGAGTCTCTTTCTGCCTCAAACTCTTTCCTGCCTGAAAGATCTTTACCTGGTAGTAGTTGTCTATTTTACCAAAGAGACTAATAGATGTTCCTGAAGTACTTTGTAGTTTTCAGCATTTTTATCTCTTGGCTGGAAAGGAGCTTGAAGAATGTAGTTTTAACCATTTGAGCTACTTTTAATTGTTTATAGTGATATTCTTGTTATGGATGCAAGTAGTTAACAGTAGATTGTGTTTACTTAAATCTTTTTTTCTTCAAATCATTGTTCTATTCTACTCTATTCAATAAAGCTTGAAGTGACAAATAGCACAGGTAGAATACTGCACAAGTAATCAGGGGATATAGATTGGGTACTAGATTTAAATCTGGACAGATCTTGGGAGTAAGCACTCACCTAAAAATCTCGCCTAGTATGACAAGCCTAAGGCTTCAAATTTTTCTAAGTTTCTCTGAGCTTTATCCTCTCGAAAATTAAGAGCTCTTTCATCCTAAATGTTATAAATCCCTAGGGGAAATCCTCCTCTCTGAAAAACATAGAGAAAACATCACATATAAGGAGGGGTGATCTTTTTTTCTGCCAAGGGCCATTTGGAGATTCATAACAACATTCAAGGGCTGTACAAAATTATTAATACGGGCAGATGCTATGGGCAGCCCAACACGGAGCATTTGTCTCCATCCAGTCATGTATCAGACTTTTCCCCACTGCTGTTCTAACATATAATCATAATGTTGCAATAGCTCTAAGACATAGAAAAATTTGTTAAGACTCTGAGTTCAAAATTCAGTACCAAAAGAAAAAAAATTCAATTACTGACAAGTCAAAACAGACGCCCCAGTCACTATTTCTACTCCATCCTTGTCTTCCTCTGTCATTAAGACCTGGGCTAGTTCACCTCTAAAATGTCACTTAGGGAAGATAACATGATGGCATAAAAAACGCAAGTTTTTGAAGAAAGCCTGGTTTGATTTCCAGTTTCATTATGTAGGATTTATGGTAAGGCCTCTCAGGCTCAATTTCTACAGGAGTGAATTGGGATAATGATGCTTCCAAGGCACTTAGACCTTGGCCCAGGATTAAGTAGATACTCATTAAACATGCCATTTTCTAGTTTCATGTTTCTTTTCTACTTAATACTCAAATGGAATTACAGAAATTGTAATGTACTGCCTTACTCATGTTTTATGACTGAATTTACTTAATGGGAAACATTTTTTTATCAAAATAGTGTGATGTCAAATTGTGTAGTTTATGAATTCAGAGATACTACCACATTGCCTTCTCCAGATACAGCTTTTGTTTTCATTGTGTAGGTCAAGTGGTCCTAAAATTTCCTCATCTCCTCCTTTATTCCTTGGTTGTAAGCTGTTTACTTTCCTAAATGGGTGTCTGCTTTGACCTGGACTTGTTTTTTATATTGTAGTTTCTCCTATACAATATCATTATTTAGACAGTAGAGGAGGTTGGAATCATTGATTTTCTTTGTCTTTGCCTGCAAATTTGTGTTACTATCTCAGCTAAGAAAGAATCAGCAGGAAACATGATGCTGTTTTAATCTACTGCACATCAGACGGACTTACTAATTGTAGTTTGTAAGTCAAACAGACCAATCCAGTGCTGATGCTCTGGGTTCATGGCTAGTGCTAAATGTATGCAACTGTAAATTTCCTAATGAGAAATCTGTTTCTGTACCCTCAGAACTTCCAGCCTAAAATTCTTCACCTCTGTAATTCCTGAACCAGCCATTTATCAACCAAACTTCTATACACTTATGAGTATCAATCAGGCTCACAGAAGAGTTGACAGGAGATATAAGGGAAATAAATAGTATGTCTTATTGTATAAAGTGTGGTCCTGGATCACGCAGCTTTAAAAACTTATAAAATTTTACAGCCTTCTGGTGATTTCTTCAGCGCATAGAGAATAGTTCATGTATTTGTAAAATAAAAATCCTAAGTAGATCTTTCTATCCTTTCTATCTTATGACTAGAAAAACATATATATGTACATATATATGAATTTTCTAGAAAAAAATAATAGTTTAAATATAAATACATTTCAGTGTATGCTTACCAGTTTAGTATTTGAGTTTGTCTTCAGGTACAGATAGTTTGCGGTACTACTGAAAATACTGTAGTATTATTTTGATCAAAAGTTTTAATATATTATCCACCTTGGGATCATGAATAAATTTGTTTCTAATCTCTTGTGATATTTTGTGTTTATTTCTAAACTTGAAGTTCAAATAACAGCCATTGACATTCACAATCTGATAAAAATAGTCATCTTTTCCCAGTACAGTATTTCTAGAAGGTCTAAAGGTCTGCACACATACTTGGGAAGCCAAAAATTCTCAGTGATAAAGCCTGTCAGCTAAAGACCATC